TATTAATCAGTAAATAAAAACCAACCAATCGTCAATCGTTCGGTCAACCAATCACATACAACTGTTTAACCAACCAGCCAATCAAATACAACCACCCAACCAGCTAACCAACCAATGATGAAGGGCGTGGGTGAATCTACGACGTCAGAAAGTTGTAGAGGGCAGAGGGGTACATAGGGACATTGCCATTGAAACGGAAAGATCATCTTGGATGATGAAGAAATGAAATACAAAAAAAGTTTATTACTCACACACTCCTTTATTCGCTCATTTATTCACTCATTCATTCATTCATTCACTTACTCACCCATCACCCACCCATTCACTCATTCATCCATTCACTCATTCATTCACTCATTCATTCACTCATTCATTCACTCATTCATTCATTCACTCATTCATTCATTCATTCATTCATTCATTCATTCATTCATTCATTCATTCATTCATTCATTCATTCATTCACTTACTCACCCACCCATTCACTCATTCATTCATCCATTCATTCATTCACTCATTCATCACATCGATGCCGTCTTGCTAACGGTAGAGGCGGTTTCTGCAACACAAGTTAGGAGGTCGGGTCTCAGACTGTGTATGACGATTTTGTGCTCCATCAGCACGTACAGTAGGATGCTGATGCAGTTCTCTGGGCCCAGGTTCAATAGGAACTTCGAGTACGATGCCCCACTGAGTTATGATGATGATTGTGATGATGATGATGAGGGTGTGACGATGATGATTGTGATGATGAAGGTGTGATGATGATGAAGGTATGATGATGACGTGTGATGGTGACGATGATGATTGTGATGATGAAGGTGTGATGATGATTGTGATGATGATGATGACGATACAATAAGAATGGTGACGGGGTGATAGCAATAATGGCGATAAAATTGTTGATGATGATAACACGGTGACGTAATTGTGACGATATTTATGCAACTACCATAATTGAGATGAGGACGATGACGATGATGAAGATGATGACGACGATGATAGCCAGGACGATGATAGCGATGATGATGATGAAGACGACGATGATGATGATGAAGACGACGACGACGATGATGAAGACGACGACAACGATGATGATTAAATGACAAAGATCACCTTTTCGTGAGTGGAGATTCATCTGGCAGCATTATCGTTATCTCTTCTGTGCTCAACTAAGCCGATAAATCAGTAATCAAGTACTCACATCATCATCATCACATTACAATCATCACCACCTTGTAATCATCATCATCATTATCTCATCCTCGTCGTCATCGTCACCATCACGCCACCATCGTCATCAGCACCATCACCGGCACATCACCACTATCAATACGATATAATCATTAATGTAATGGCACTCATCATCGTTGTAACATACACGCACACACACACATACATACACACACAAATATACTAATACTCATACACATACACACACACACACAAACGAACGAACCAACCAACGCATACACAACACATTCATAATATAGACATAGAATGATAGATAAAGATAAGGTATCATACGTGTATAGATATATAAGGCCTCTCAGGAGATGGAAACGGTATCTCGTCAATGAAGTGTGATATGTATCTGAATAGGCGTGTGTGCGTGTGCGTGCGTGTGTGTGTTTAATAATATTGAATATCTAAAGTGTGCGTGCGTGTGTAATATTTAAATATTCCCAACAACAACAACAGTATCAACATACACGTTATGAACAACAACTAATACGACACAAACGATATTTCTATCGCAAAGTCTTCTTAATTTTCAACGTTTGTATTCAACAACAACGACGACGAAGACGACCACAATGTTGTCAACATCATCAATTACGTCATCATAAAAACATCATAAGTGACGTCATCGTCAACAACAACAAAAACATCAACAAACAGGTGCAACAACCTTTCAATTGGGATTCCCTGTGGTCCAGAGACTGATATTCTATAGAGGTAGAGTAGAAACTTCTTGAAGGAATCAAAAAACGGCCAACGTGATAATAAGCATATCGACTGTTGTTTGTTTGTTTGTTTGTGTTTTGTATGTACGCTACTTGTATTTTTCTTCTTTGTATGTTATTTGTATGTTTTTTTTGTACGTTTTTGTGGTATGTTGTTAGCGCGTTAGTGTTTGTTTGCGTGTACGTTGTTTCTTGTATGTTGTTTGTTAACAGTTTATTATCGTATGGATGTTTTTCGTTGTATGTTGTTGTTGTTTGCTTGTTATAGTCTGCTTTTTAGAATCGTGTATATATATATAGAGAGAGCATTAAATGTTTTGTATTCTACGGAAATTTTACCTAATAAAACGAAGAATTTATCATTTAACAAAAAGTAACAGCAATAACATAACACAGAATAAAATGAGAAAGAATTGAAAACCACGAACAAACAAACAATAATAATAAAACAAACAGAAAGAAGAGAAAACGCTAAGAAGAAACAGTTTCTACTTTAAAAACAGCAGCTTAAGAGAGAAAACGAAAAATCACAAGAACAAAAAACCAAGCTACTCACTAAGGCCAATGAATGCACTACTACTACAAACACACCACCAGTAATAATAATAATAATAATAATAATAATAATAATATTAATGATATTAATAATAATACTGTACTTGATTCTGTTGAAAGACAAAGTCATTATCATCATCATTATTATTATTATTATCATTAATGATGTTATCATTGGCATTTTTAATGATATCTATTTCACTAATGGTGTTGTAGTTTCTAGTCAAATCCACGTTTTTACCCCCGACAACATTATTATTTTTATTGTTGTTATTATTATTATTATTATTATTATTATTATTATTATTATTATTACTAAGTTTATCCTCGTCGCCCTCATCAGCAGTCACTTCGTCGCCGAAAAACTCCCTCTGCTTTTGGGTGAAATACTTTGAATTGAAATCTTTATAGAAAACTACCGCGGCACCGTAGCACTTCAATCCCGATTGGTCAGTTAGGACAAAGGTTGAGTAAACAGGAAGTGGATATCGACTGTTGGCCCCCCACCTCTCAATGGCCGCGCCCTGAGGCAGGCAGAACATTGGTAGTTGTTGGGGCAGGGGGAAGTTAGGGTCGTCCGTAGTCGGGTAACGAAAAAGTAGTTCTGATTGGTTGTTGTTTTTTTTTGATGTTTGATATGTACGTTTGAGTATGTGTTTGTACTTAAGCTTGTTTGTTTGTATGTATGTATGTATGTGTGTATGTATTGTTTGTATGTATGTGTCTTTGTTCGTTTGTATGTGTGTTTCTTTGTTCGCTTGTATGTATGTGCGTTTGTATATTGTTAAATTTTATTTACAAATGTAGTTTTTGAGGGGTGAAAATTTTTATGAACATAGAATTAAATAAAGAAGTAAAATAACAGAGAAACGAACGAACGAATAACGAACGAATAACGAACGAATAACGAACGAACGAACGAGTTAATTATAAGAGTTGAAAGAAAAGAAAATTGAATGATGAAGATTAATAAAGAAATAAAACCACCTGCATCGTACGTCAGGCATTTATTTTTAATATAAGACTTTCTGTAACACAAATATACATCAGATCCTATCTGGAATAAAAAAAATTTAAAAACTAAATAATAATAAAATTAATAACAATAATAACAATAATAATAAATAATAATAATAAAATAAAAACTAATAAAAATGTTTAAAAAATTGATTGACAGACTAACCATTCCTAGATTTAGTGGCTTGTTGATCTGTCTAAATGCGTGGGGCACAGCCTCTCCCTTTATTGTTATTTTTATTATTAATTATTATTAATAATTATTATTATTATAATGAGTTCTTATTATTTTATTGTCAAATTATTTACTATTATTGTTGATATCAACATATACAATACTAAATTTTTAAAAATCTGTGAGCTGTAAACGAGCAAATCATTCAAAAGAATGATAAAACTAAATAGCAAAGAACAAATATTTTGTAAAAAAATTTTAAATAAAATACAATGCATGGTAAAAAAATAAATTAAAATTAATTAATTGAAAAATTTTTTCCTAAAAAACCTTAGAAGGCAATATTATGCATATGTCACACACAGCCAGTGTATCCCAGTCCACTAATTCTATAGCCCGACAGAATGTTATGTAAATTTTCTCCCCAACTGTATTGTTGACATTGGCTGACCGACCGTAAGGCGTCGACGTTATCATCTCTACCCCCGGCCTCAACTGCTTTTTACTACTTTGGTAATAAACCCTAAAAAAGAAGACATTTAAAATATAATAATTAATTTTTTCAGTATAAAATAAATAAACAATTAATAAAAAGAAATGAATGAAACCAAGTTCCTGAAAGATCAAACGTGAGGTGCTCTAACGAATTAATAATTATTATAAAAAATTATGAATTCAACAAATTTACAAAACACACCCAATATCAATAACCGGGGGGCTGTCACGCCCTCTCTTGACACAAATGTACATCTCCGGCGACACCAGACTGCCGTGATTCAGATTTGCAGGAAAGTTAGTGGGGGTTAACTCTAAACATTCAAATCCTTTGGGGGTAGCTTCACCCTGAGTTCTATTGATGACGACAATGTCTGTGATCGGTAATTTCGGCTTTGTATACCGGGTGATCGGCTCTTTCTCGATGGTCTTTTCCGGAAGACCGGTGACGAAAAAATAATTGACAATTTTCGGAGTTTCAGCCATTTTTATGAGCAATTAAGATCAAGTGCATATTTGTATTTTTTTTTATTTTTTTTTACACAAAAACAAAAATATGATGGGATTTTTATTGATAATTGAAAAATAATTTAGGAATAGCGATGAGCTATTTATTATTTTGTCGGTTAACTATCGCTTCGTCGGTCTTGTCAATTACGATATAAAAAATAATTTATTTGGCTTAAACTTAACAATACGATACGGTGCGGTTATTTGATTTTCATGACTTATTGGCTTACTTACAAAATTGCATGGGTTTCAACGAACAACTAATTTTCAGATAAAAAATTTTGTTTTTACGTTTGTTAGCATTTATGTATATTTAATGGTCATAGCTGAGTTATATAGAGTTATATAGAGTTATTTAGAGTTTATATAGAGTTATATAGAGTTATGATTCAGCTAGTCGTGAATTATAATGGTTGTTTCTGTAATGTAAGATTTCATTACATCAGTTCTACGAGAAAAGGCAGGCCGCTGCAGTAAGCCAACATATGATTTCAGCAAACAGTATATACGAGCACTAGAATGTAAAATATTTATTGAATATAATAAAGATAGTTGTTTAAATAACAATTTTAATTTATTTACGTTTTTTTTAATAAGCAAACGAAAGTTTAACACGATCGAACAGGGTAAAGAAAGAGTGACTATAGTTCAATCGTAGGTAGCCAACCTATTGCAATTTTGTGAGTCAATAAGCCAACAATCTAAGAATGTCAAATAGACAATACGATTTTATTTATAATTTGAATTTAAATCTCTAAACTCAATAAATGAAACAAAAATAAATGATTTATTTTTAAATATTTTAAACTTAAGTTTCCCTTTTAGAACCGAAAGCATTGGAAAACCCACTTTATCAGTATCCATTATCATTGTATCTGCAGTGTATATTGATTCGTTCTACTTTTTCGTTTAAAAGTCGGATTTTTGCTAATATCTTATCAAAAGTTCGTTTCGTATT